TAAAGTATATCATATAGTGAAAAAATAATATATGTTAGTTCTTAAATAACTATATATATTAGAATATTTGTTTATCAAAAGGTCTTAAGGTAATAGCGCAATGGGATTGAAACTCATTATTATATCTGAATTAGGAAGCATTTGGATTTTCAAGTTAAAGATATATTATTAGCTTATTATATGCTATTCACTCTATTTGAAATATAGAAATAAGAAAAATATATTTATATACTCACACTAGAGGAGGAGATTGTTGAAATATAAGTGTGAATTATGTTAGATAGAATTTATTATTATTAATATTATGTTATTCCTTATATATCATATTCCTTTTGAAAAAGACTCTAAAAGAGTCAGTAACGCTCAATTTTCCATTAGTGTATAAGTTTTTACCATTGGGTAAAAGATGACAAATAATGCTCTAGAAGAGCTATATCATGATTTATTATCTTGAAGATAAAATCCATAATTGATAGCATATTCCTTATGAAATATTAAGGTGAAAAATCAATAATATGATATGGTAAGAAGAAGTTTACTAATAATTGAGAATAATTTTATAGTAAACCAGAAATTTATGCATTTATAGTTTGCCATGACCGATTAGATCATCTCAGATCATAATGATGCAAAATATCATGAAAAATGTATATTGTCATTTATTAAAAAAGCAGAAGATTCTTTAAAACTGATATATGATTCTAGAATTTTTATGTGTTGTTTGTTCTCAAAAGAACTAAATAAAAGAATATCACTAGCTATACTCAAAATTGGATCTGTACAAATTTATAATGTATCAACTTTATATATAGGTCCATTTAGATACCATGTGGACCAAAGTAATACTCTATAAATGAAAAATGCATATATAAAATGGTCACAAGTGTTTATAATCAACTTGCAACCTAAAATTTGTAAATATGCTCAGATAATTACATTGAGTACAAAGGTTCTTGATTATGAAATCAATATGATTCTCGTTGAGATTGCTAGTGATTGTTCTTCACGTTGCAAATGATTATATGCCTAATAAAAACCTTCATAAATAACTAGACTAGAATTTATGAGAAAAGAATTCCTATTTGAGTGTTGGGATGATTGGTTTTATATGTTTTTGCATATAAACGCATCAAGCTAACAATGTATTATAAATTCTCCCATTGTAATTGGTTTTTGGTTAGGCGCCAAACATTTTTCATCTTAAAATGTATAATATCTATTATTCCACCATAATAATGCACATAGATGGATATTAAAAGTAAGTTGAATCACTGTTGGGTAAGAATCTCCTTATTTTTGTTTATCTCTAAATGAAACAAAATAATATTTCTAAAGGAGACTTATGAATTTGGGAGACTTATACTACATGTTCCTAATACGAAGAAGAGAAAATGTGTAGCCAGAAAAGAAAACACATAGAATATATTTTTACTATCAAATGCAGATCCTCAAATATAATAGTATCAACAAGGAGTTCATAAAGTATTGCATTCTTAAAATATTATTAATATCTACCATATGCAATTACTGATCCAAATGAAAATTCTTAATTCTTATATTCCAACTAAAAGTGCTCTTATTCTTGAAGACATGCTAAAAGCATGAAAGTATGATTGGTTCCAAAAGAAAAGAAAAGGAAACAAATGATCCTGATGATCATACTAAGGAGGCATGAATTATAAAAGAGGTTAAGATATAACTATTTAACCCCTGAAGAGGTTCAAGTGTCTGAAAATAATAAAAAAATCTCGATATGTTATGTCATAAAAGAAAAAGGGACCGATAAAGGAATAAAATTGTTAACAATAATTTTATTGATGATATCGCGTGACCAAATGAGGATCTTATATATAAATCTGTCATGAGATACAGACAAAAAAATAGTTGGCTAACAAAAAAAAGACGTAATATGACAAGGACTTGTGTATCCCTAACCCACACACTTAAAGTGTAATGTTAGTATCATGTAAATAGATATTTGTACAATAAAAAAAGAAATAAAATCTTGTAGTGAATTAAATTACATGTCTTATCAATTTGGCAGTCTAGTAATAAATGAAGTTTTCTTCATATGCATTTTAGAAATATATAATTACAACGTATAACTCACTTTATAGTGAAATTTTATATGAATCCCTAAGGATTTAAATCCTTATATAAATTTAAACGATCAAATACATGAATAGATATGGATCATAATGTATGAAAATCCTCAAAAGATTTAAGTTTCTAGAAGCATACAATTATGTTCTCAATAACACTATTCAAGTAAGTCTCTATATGAGACATATGTAGTTAATATCGACTGAAGGAGTGATGTAAGCATATTCTAACTTGTCTGTTTGTGAAAAGATTTAAAATGAGTTTGTTATCAGTACTATTTATGATGATAGTATTAAAACTCCTGATGAATTTTCAAAAGCTGTGAATTACTTAAAGAAAAAATTTGAAATGAAAGCTTTTGGAAGAATACATTTGGATAAGTCACATCCATTATGTGGATAAGCAATATCCATTATATGTTTCGGTAGTTACAAGATCCTTAGATATGAACTAAAGATCGATTTAGACATCCAAAAGGTAATAAATAAACTCTCAGTCCAAAAGTACCATGTCTTAGTGTCATTAAAGAATTTATATATCTATCTAGCCATACAGAATCTGAGCTATCATTTGCTGATTAGCATGATATAGTTCTTTATCAACACGAAAATGTTGAAATGAAGTTAAAATATTCTTCGTTACTTTAAGGATACCGTTGAGGTAATATTATTTTATCTAAAGGTACTCGAGACTAATCTTAATGGCTATATAAATAAAGTATTCTTGTTTGATCCTCGTGTCAAGAGATCATAATATGATCTACGTGTGGGTAAACCATAAAAGGACTATTCGTCTCATGGTTTTCAAAAGATTATGAAATTCATATTTGATATTTTTATCTCATTACAATATTTAGAAAGGTTGTTCATTATATTAGACTTTGTAGGCTCGAAGATGTCAACTGATGTTACCAAAAGAGAGAGTTGATACACGTTGTACTCTTTTTTCCTTGTCTATGGTTTTGTTCCACTAGGTTTTCCTAGCAAGATTTTTAATGAGGCAACATTGCATAGTGCATTAATAAATGATGTACTCTCTTTTTTTCCGCTAGGTTTTTGTCCCACAGGGTTTTTTCTAGTTGAAGTTTTTTAACGAGACACATTCATATATATTGGACATCCAAGGAGGAGTGTTATGAATATAATAATATCTTTGTGGATGTCCATATATCTCCCATTATCTCCTATATTTCCTATAATTTCTAATATCTCCTATTATCTCTATATCCCATAATTATCTCATATTATTATGTAATCTGTAGATTCTATCAAAAATATAAAACTATGCCAATAAATAGAGGTCATATATAATGTATTGAGCACACTTGAATAAAATGAGAAATACTCTCTATTATTGATCCTCTCTTTGTTTGTATGATTTTTCTCTAAATTTTTTCTTTATTTATAACATAATTAGGATAGAAATGAAAAATACTTTCTTAGTGCCTTTTTATAAGAAACAGTTGCTTTTATAATGGTGTCCCTCAATATAATAAATACATTATTTTTATTTAAAATTTTGAATTAATTTTTTAACTTTTATTTTCATTAAATATATGTTACTTATTATCTCTCTACAATAAATATTTACTCATTATTTCTTACTTACTCTCTTTAGAAACAAGGCATAATTAAAAAAAAATATGTATATTTTTTTTACATATTTATTGTTTTTAACTAATTTTAATTAATATTTTGGTAGTTGTTTTTTATAATAAGAAGCAAAAAGAGTATGTTATAGGCTTAAAAAATATAATTTGTTGAGGTTTTTATATTTTATATTAATATTAATTAGAATATATTAATCTATTAAATTCATACTCATAAAAAATTATTCTATTAAATCTATTAAAACCCCTATTAAAAAATCGATTTTTAATCCTCCGAGACTAGGGGTTTTCATGAAGTACATATGCCCGCTATACACATCTAAACCCATTAAAAACATGCTTAGTCTGGCCCGAACAAAAATAGGCATTTTCAGGTCAGGCTTATCATGGGTAGGCTAGGCATGCTACTTACCCATTTGGCTCTGCCTGAAAAATATATAATTATATATTATAATATTATTTTTCAACCATTGTCCCTTTTAATTTTAGCAAAAAAAAATTGTCATTTTTTTGTTACTTGTACTCTTCTGTAATATCAAATTTTTGTTCATTTATTTGTCTATCACTGCAATGAATCAATAGCTCTTTTTCTTCAAATAATTAAGACAGTGTATTATTTGACTATTACTCATTAATCTAACCAAATTGATTGAACCTTGAGACTAATCACAACTGAATATTTATTATTTTCTCGCCAAAGCCTTAGGAGTTAATAGCAGAGGTAGTTTTAATCCACAATTTTAATAATTTATTTTCATATTTTATATTCATACATATAAGGTTTAAGTATATATTTTTAAATGCAATGTGATCTATATATCATAGTTTATTTGGCCCATACAAGCACATTCATTGTAAACACATGGATAATTGTAATATATAGGCGATAAACATTTAAACTATACTAATTATAGTTTACATTGTGTTTTATATTTTAAGACCGAAAATGTAGGCTTATTTTGAAATATTTTAAGGTATGAAATTATGAAATACATTTAAAATTCACAATAATATTTATAAGATATAATTAGATATTTTTTTAATATAATATAAATAGGGTGTTATTATTTGGATAGAAAAGTCCACTCTTATCCTGTTCAAAATGATTAGGGTTTCTGGCCGATCAGCAGGCAGCAAAACGGTGGGCATTTGGCTAGCTCTGCGGATAAACACCCCTATACATAAAGAAATTGATTATTAAATAATCACTGGTGTCTTAAAAAACACTAAACAGGATATTTATAGGGGCGGGGATAAGTATAAATAGTCACCAGCTTGATGGTGTCCGGTTTTCGCCGTATTTGGAGATGGATAGAGGGGCTTTCCCTCCTTGTTCGAAGAGGAGGTGGTGGAGGTGATACGTGATTGATCCCGATTCCGATTAGGGTTCGATCTCCTCTCTATCTATTGTTTCTCTCATGCCCTTTTCTCTTTATCCTCTTGAGAAACTTTCCTCTACATTCAAGGTAGTAATTCATTAACAAAGAAGCTCGGCGTTTTTTTCCCATCCTTTTCTCTCTCTTTTGATTTGATTGATGAATGCGATTTTCGAGTTCATCCGATGCATTTCTAATATATTGTAAATGTGAATTGTTTCTTATTCATGCAACAGATTCACCGTAAAATTTGTCACAGTAAGCCATAATCAGCAATTATTTTCTTTATTCCTTTTGAATCTCTCACATTTTTGTTTTAAATTTGACGATATATCGAACAATTTGTTGATTTTTTCTACTTCTGTGTGCCTGGACGAACGTGTAGGATTAGGGCCTAGCAAGGCATAGATGAGTGTGGCGAAGGCAGGAAGCTCAGGGGAGTGTAATGGGGGCGCAGAGCCTCCTGATCCTGATATTCTTGAAATTGACCCAACTTGTCGCTACATTAGGGTAATATATTTGTTTGATCTTTTGTGCTAGCTTTTGCTTTTGCCTTCAGCTTTACTTGTTTACCTTGGCTTCCTTCCTGTAGCCAGATGATAAATTCCTATAGAGATGTGTACGGGTTGCATTTCCCTCCCCCCCCCCCCCCCAACTGCTTCTCTGTTTACTTTGAATTCTGTAAAAAGCTTTACGAAGTATCCAGATTCACTGTACTTCCACTAAACTGAAGGTGCCTTTTGCATCTATGACAGTATAAAGATGTGATCGGCAAAGGTGCTTTCAAGACATGGTATATATCTGTTGTTTTTGCTTTACTGGAAATGCTGTTGTTTTCACGTCTATGGCAGTGCTACAATCTCGTGATCGCTACTTACTTCACCATTTGCTGGTTTCAATAATTTGTGATTAATCAGTTATAGGGCATTTGATGAAGTCAGTGGACTTGAAGTGGCCTGGAACCAGGTTCGGATTGATGAGGTGCTGCAGTCACCCGGTGACTTGGAAAGGCTCTACTCAGAGGTGCATCTCTTAAAGTCACTGACAAACAACAACATTGTAAAATTCTACAATTCCTGGATTGATGATAAGAACAAGACTGTCAACATCATTACTGAATTGTTCTCCTCGGGCAGCCTCAGACAGTATGTTTACTTTCATTTGTGGATCTGTTTAATCTCTTTTAGCTCTTTATAGTGAAATCATCCTCTTTTTTAGTGGACGTGATGAATGATTTAGGTATCGTAGGAAGCACAAGAAGGTTGACATGAAGGCTCTCAAAGGATGGGCAAGACAGATTTTGATGGGTTTAAACTACCTCCATAATCACAACCCACCTATTATACATAGGGATCTGAAGTGTGATAATATATTTATCAATGGAAACCAAGGTGAAGTTAAAATTGGAGATTTGGGGCTGGCAACTTTCTTGGAACGGACTAATGCTGAGAGTGTGATTGGTATGTTCTTCTGTTTCTCACCATTTTACTCTTCTTTTCATGTTCAGTTAAAATTTAAAACGTCAAACAAATTTTTCTCTGTAAAAAAAAAAAAAAAACCAACAGAGTCACTTGTTTTTCTTATCACACAGTTATAATAACTCATTGACAAAATTTTCCATGTTTATTTGTCTCATTGCTTTTTTATTATGAACTAATTCTACATATATGTGATTCTGATAGGAACCCCTGGATTTATGGCACCTGAGCTGTATGATGAAAATTACAATGAATTGGCCGACATATATTCTTTTGGAATGTGCATGCTTGAGTTGGTGACTTCTGAATACCCATATAGTGAATGTAAAAACTCAGCTCAGATATACAAGAAGGTTTCATCGGTGAGTATCATGTACTTGAAAATTGATAGCCTTTTATTTTAATCCATAAATTGTTGCTGAGTACTTTGGTCATACAATATTTGATTTCCTAGGGTATAAAACCTGCTTCACTTTCTAAAGTCAAAGATCCAGAAATGAAATTATTTATTGACAAATGTCTAGTCCCAGCGTCTCAAAGAATGTCGGCAAAGGAGCTTCTAATGGACCCTTTCCTTCAAATTAATAGTTTGGCAAGAAATCGTCGTCTATCATTACCCGATATTGTTATCCCTAAATTTGGAGCCTTTGGAGATCGTATTCTTGTTTCAGAAGGCCCTGCTACTCAACGTAATGGATCAAATTCTCTGGATCTTGATGAGACTTGTGAATTACCTGTGATCACTATATATGATGGTTCCGGTGATGCTTCACATTCTCCATGTGTTGAGATACGGAAGTCGAAGAGAGGTGATATTTTCACTCTAAAAGGTGAAGAAAGTGATGAGAATTCTGTATCAATAGTTCTTCGGATAGCTGATCAAGGCGGTTAGTATGAGAGTTATTTATTGTATTTTTATTTATTTTCTAATATGGAAATTGAATTGACTATATGTGACATTGGTCGAGGTCTCATGGAAAGGTTAGCAGAAATTTATATCCAGTCTCTCATAATAAGCATCACATAATAGCAACAACTGTATCAAAAATAACACGGGTTTGTTTTGATTCCCAAAATGTTTGAACTTATGTCTATTAAATTGTTAAGAAGTTTATTTTATATCTGTTTCGGCATGTATTCAAACTTCAAAGAGATATTTGTGTTGATTTGAAGTCAATTATTTGTGTTAATTTTATTCAGTAATACAAGTATGGTAATTCCCATGGCAAAGGTTGAGTGGTTTTCCTATAATACTTAAAGTTTATTTCTAGTTTCAACAGCTATGCTATAATATATTAGTAGAATAATGTATATTGTGGTATTTCAATGCAGGTCGAGCGAGAAATATTCATTTCCTATTCTACCTTGATAGTGATACTGCTATTTCCGTTTCAAGTGAAATGGTTGAGCAACTCGAACTTTCAGATCAAAATGTACAGCTCATAGCTGAGTTGATAGACTTGTTATTGATTAATTTGGTTCCCAATTGGAAACCTTGTGTAGATATTGCTCACTTGGTTTCACGAAGTTGTAAAAGAACTATTGCTGGAGAAAAAGATTTGGAATCGGCAAAACTAAAACAACTTTATGAAGATTCCATGCAAAATATTACTGAAGAGAGAGGTATCTCACACTCAATCAGAAGGTCAGTTTCATCAGAAATCCATTATCACTCTAACTTGGGTGAATTTTCATCCCCTGCCAACATAGATGTGGGAAATACAATTAAAATAGATGATTTGTGTTCTAAGATTTCACGTGTTTCTATAACATCTGACGTTAACGATAAGAAGTTGTCTTTAGTTTCATTTTTATCGGTGGAGTCAGCATTTAATGACTTCAACTTGTCGAGAGTACCAGGTGAATCTGAGTGCTCTTTTATATCTACAATGGAAGCATGGCCTGATACTCGTAGAAGTAAGACTTCAGAATTAGGAAGTCATGATATGTTGAACTTCCCAACCCATTCTAGTAGTCCTTCTTTATCTAATGTAGAAGATGGGTTGAAAATAGAGTTAGATATAATTGAACAGAAATACTTAGAGACAATTAAGGAAGCATCAAGAATAAGATCTCAAGCCATCATGGAGGCCAGAAGAAGGTCATTACAGAAGAAGATCTAATCATGAAATAATTTCAGTAGTCATTTAGGTAGGATTTTCCTTGACGACCAGTTAGCATATGTATTTTGGTTCACACCTTTTAGGTGTAAGTGTAAATAGTGTACCTTGAATTGGAATTATATTGATTTTGATTAGTTTTTGAATAGAAATAGACTCATTCTTTACATGATAATCTCTTAGATTTAATTCATTTATCTTTTTTGTGGTAAAAAAATTTTATTTATTCCTAACTCTCTTAAGTTAGCTCTCACACAAAGTGATTAAGTATAATGGAACTACTCAACTTCAAATCAATAGCACCAAATATGAGATTGCCTGTGATATGACCAACATGTTACCTTTAATATTTTGTATACTTACTTTTATCATTTAATTATATTCTATTTAATTTTGTTGGCATTGCAAGTGGTATTCTGTTGACTTTGCAAGTGGTATTTTATTGACATGGCAAGTGTTATTCTATTCTTATTTAAATTAAAATTTAAAAAAAATTGAAAACAAGTAGTTTCAGAACACTTTTTTTTTTCTTCGTCATTATTTTCTACCACATGATTTACTTATTTAAACTGAATTTTAATTTATACGGCTTAATTATATATATTGATGGATTGATTATTTTACTATGGTTAACTTACATGATCAGGGTTTAACAAGTATATTTTTGGCCCAAAAATGTTTTAACATGTATAATTATACTCCTCCAAACTTAATTATTAAGTTGATTTTAATCCTAAATGTAAGACATCTTTATCATATTATCAATTTTTTTTAAATTACTCCTATAAATATTCTCCTAAACCATAATCAAGTAGGAGAGGGGAAGAATATTAAGGAAGATGATTATGGTGTTTTAGAAAAAATATATCATATTTTTTATAATTAATTAATTTACCTAACTTTCTTAATCTAATCAAATTAGTTAAATATGTTTTATATTAAGCACCGGAAGAGTATTTTATTAACAATTTAATTACTAAAAGTTAATTTTTTTATGTTATCCAAAAGATTTATCATCCGGAGAATGGAGAGAGTCGCTGATTATAAAATTTTTGCGATGTGTTAAATCAATATTTTGGTCGGCAAAAAAAATTAAACCAACATTTTAGATTTTCTAGTAACTATTAGCTTCATGAAAAAAAAATGAAATTCCAGATGGCAATACAAATGTTTTTATGATTTGGAAATGATAAATCTGATTCCTTCGTATACACTCGGTGAGAAGTTATGAACTTTTCATTGTCAATCTTGACAATTATTTGTGTTTGACTGAACATGATAATATTTTTAATTTCTATTTCAATTAAAAAAAATTTAACGTCCTAAGTAGAAAATTTTTTCCCCGAAAAATACTACTCTAATCCTTAATATGTAACTTAATTGTTGAGTTAATTTTGATTTTAAATGTAAGATCTATTTTGCATATATATTAATTTTTTTATACGCTTATGACCTCCCCCTCTATGCCTTGCGGTAATGATTCCTTTGGCATTACGACCTTTACCACATTCTCTATTTTCCCCCTGGTTAATTCTATTAGGCGCAATTCAAATAATCTATGCAGCTTCAAATATTATTCCTATTCATAATTCCTCGACCATAATTAGGCAGGAGAAAGATAAAGGATATTGAGAAAAATGATTATGGTGTTTTAAAAAAAAAACATATCATATTTCTTATAATTAATTAATTTGCCTAACTTTTCTAGTTTAATTAAATTAGTTAAATATATTTACATACATTAAGTGCGTGAGCAATATATTAGTCTCCTAAACTCTTTAAAATTTAAATCAGTGTTCTGATATTTGCAATGTTAGTTTTAAAATTGAAGGAATTGATAAGAGTGATAAAAAGAGGAGGTGTGAAAATATATGAAAAAGGTAAATATACTTTTAACTGTATTTTATTCATTGCAATAAACCATATTGTAAGATAAATTGAATGACATAAATATACTATCTTATTATCGGTAAAATGTTAAAGAATCTTTTATTATGAAATTTTGATAAATAATTTCATTAGAAAACAAAATAAAAATTATGAGAATTGTTCCTTTTATTTTCTCAAGTATATTCAATTAGAATAATAGCTCATAGGCTAAGGTGTACTCTAAGTTTTCTAATTTTATTTAAGGTCATAATTTTATTTCTCAATTTTGAAAAGTATATTTTTAGTTCTTTAACTTTAAAATTGTTAACAAAAATAATGATGTTTATTATTAATATTTTAAATATTAATAACATATTCTTAAATGTTAAGATATTAAATTTAAGTTTTTAAAACAATCACAATTGTTACTAAAAATCATATAAAACTTATGATTTTAAAATTAAAAGATTAAAAATATACTTTTTAAAATTAAGAAATTAAATTAAAATCTTAAATATAGTTAAAGAATCATATACACACACTTTAATCTTGCTTGTAAATATTTGTTTAAAAGATTAATGGGTCAAACATAACGTTATGTTTTTTCATACATAAAAGAGCATCGCACAATAATTTTTTTAAACTGGTATTTATAGACAATTTTTCTTATTTAATTTCAATAATAAAAATCTGTATAAATTTAAAATTTTAAAAAGGGCAGAAAATGGAAAAGAAGGCGGAACCTGGTTTTGGCGCGCGAACAAAAAACTTATGAAAAGGGAGAAGTAAAGGTTGAGGTTCTCACTTCTCAGTTCAAAGGGACGGCGCGGAAGTTCCAATCTGTCATCAAACAATATTCAGAATCACAATTACAGAAAATTCTCAATCTGACATACAGTAATCGTCAGAGCCATTCTCTATCGTTTCTGCAAATAAAGAAAATGGCGGGACATGACCCGGAACTGAAGGCGGCGACGACAGCGTACCGGAATGCCAAGGCCGAGGCGAACAGACAGGAGGAGGCCCGATGGGCGAACGTGATCGGAAATATATTGAAGAATAGAGGAGAGTATGTGGAGGCCCTCAGGTGGCTTCGAAGAGACTATGAGATTTCTCTCAAATATTTGCCCGAGAAGCATTTGCTCCCAACCTGTCAATCTCTCGGGGAAATTTATCTTCGGCTTGAGCGCTTCAGCGATGCTCTAACGTACCAGGTATGGTTCCAGGGATTTTTTTCCCCCTGAAATGATTAATTTACTTTTCCCTCTGCCGCATCAGGCATCAGCAACCCTTGAGCCGCGATTGAGAGAAGAGGCCTGAAGGGGTTTTCCTTGGTTAAGTTGGGCGCACCATTAGGCATCTTGAATCTGGATGATGAAGTATATTCTTATACCAGTTGTCTCTTTCGTTGATAAATGGGATAGTGAATAATTATGCAATTAAGATGCATTTTAAGACTCCTTCGCGTTAGAGTTTTACCTAATCATGCTATGGACATACTATGATTCCTCTAGGTAATCCAAGTTTATTTCTTCTTTTTTGTACTGGCACTGATCAACCATGTTATGGTTCATTCTTTTCATTTCACTTTCCAGTTTTAAAAATCTGATATTGGATATCAATGTACTTTTTGGATGTACGATTTGTTGATGTTTACACCCTATTCCGTTTTAGAAAAAACACTTGGAGCTCGCTAGGGATGCTAATGACCTTGTTGAGCAGCAAAGGGCCAGCACCCAACTTGGTCGTACTTATCATGAATTATTCTCAAGATCAGAACATGATCATCTCTCAATACGAAATGCCAAAAAGTATTTTAAGTATGCTATGGAGCTGGCGCAGATTCTTAAGGAGGACCCACCAACTAATAAGTCTTCCTTTGTCAAAGAATACATTGATGCACACAACAATAGTGGAATGCTGGAAATGGAACTTGATAACTTGGAAGAGGCTCGGAAAATCCTAACAAGAGGACTAGAGATTTGCAATGAAGAAGAGGTCGGCGAAGATGATGATGGACGCAGCAGACTCCATCATAACCTTGGAAATGTATATATGGAACTGAGAATGTGGGAAAAAGCTAGAAAACATATTGAGAAGGACATTCAAATTTGTAACAAAATTGAACATTGTCAAGGAGAAGCAAAAGGCTACATTAATCTTGGGGAAGTGCATTACAGGACTCAGAAGTATGATGAAGCACAGTCTTATTATGAGAAGGCGCTTACTCTGGCAAAATCCTTGGAAGATGAGGATGCATTGGTTAGGCAAATTGATGAAAACATCAAAACTGTAAATAAAGCTGTCAAAGTAATGGATGAATTAAAGAAAGAAGAGCAGAACTTCAAAAAGCTTAAAAGATATTTGGCTGCTGCAAGAGGCTCAGCACATGAGCGTAAATATCTTCTGCAGCAAAATGCTTCCCTGGATCGCCTTCTTGAGAAATCAAGTATGATCTCTGCATGGGAGAAGGTATCAATTCTCTATGTATTGTGCGTGCCTGTGTGTGTTATCATTTTGTTAAATTGACATGATCTTGTCTCATAAATTTGCGGTGGCTATTTAATTGAAATGTTTTGAACGTCTAACTGTTAATGAGGCAATTGGTGTTCAGAATTTCCTTTATACAACAACCATTTTCACCAGAGAAGAGTTCTTTCCTTTGTATATTCCATTATTGATTTGGGAGAGAAGTGCTGGGGAAGCAAGGGTCTCTTACTTCTTTGTGAATTGTTCATTAAAACTCAGTTTTACTTTTCGTGTTCATGGGAAAGAGGTTCTGTTAGTTTGCTATCCTAATGTTTCATTAAGAGGAGGTATTTCACTATTTTGTAGTATTTGTACCCTTACTCTTTGTTAAGTATGGATATTGGTGGTTCATTTCCTTCTAAGTTATAGGTAATTAATTGGAAACCATACGCATCTATGTGGAGACTTTTTAAAGCTTTGTTTATGTGTGGCTAATTAATAGAATGCCAATTTTCCTTAATGAGAACTGTCATGGTTTAGCATTGCGAGTTTGCAAAGGAGAAGAAAGAAATAGCAAATGAATTGTGTGACAATGAAAAGCTCAGTGATTCATATCTGGCTCTTGGAGAATCATATCAGAAGCTCAGAAACTTCAATGAATCTATCAAATGGTACAGAAAGAGTTGGGAAATGTACAAAAAAATTGGTAACTTAGAGGTAGGTTTGATGCTGATTTCGCTGCATGATCTTTTAATATGAAGTTCACATTTTTTGTTATCTTCCTATTCTGACTTCTACTTTGACATGAAAGTGAGACAATAAAAACCTCAATCCAATGGCTATATGGCTTTTATTGGTGAATGAGTTTATAATTCTCATTTGCATGGTGTAAGGGGATAATAGACGATCTAATAGTTTATATATTGCCACAGATTCCATCATGTGCATTCTACTTGGCTAATTCTTATCCTTTACTGGTAATGATTATAGGGCCAAGCACTAGTGAAAATTGATATTGGTAATGTTTTGGATTCTGTTCGCAATTGGCAAGGAGCACTTGCTGCATTTGAAGAGAGCTACAGGTACTAATATCCATATTTTTGAAATCTATTTGTTGACTTCATTTCAATACAAAGAAAGTGTATGGAAAATTGATTTCCATCCGTCAACAAACCCAAAAAAAAGAAAAAAAAAGAAAAAAAATTGATTTCCATCTATAATGCATTATCCAAGGAGCTGGGTTAATTTTGAACACAATAGTTTTTCTCCATATGCTTTCGGTATGCCCGAGATTGTGTAAACATTAATGGAAGATGCGAATTTTTCTTCCATTACAACAACAAGTAGTCTTATCCCACTAGGTGAGGTTGTCTATATGAATCGCATGATACCATTGTGTTCTATCAACAACAAAGTCCTTAGATAGGTTGTGAATCAGAAGGTTTCGTTCAATGGCCTCATTGAGCGTTCTTCTCATTCCTTTATCCCTTTTTAAAAGACTCCAAATTGTTTGATCTACCTTTCTCACTGGCTCTTCTAATAGCTTTCTCTGTATATGTCAAACCATTTTAAATGATGTTCAACCATTTTCTCTTTGATAGGCGTCACAACTACTCTTGTTCTAATGTTTTTGAATCTTATCTTTTCTTGTATGATCACACATCCATCTCAACATCCTCATTTTTGCTACCTCAACTTTGTGCTATTGTTTTTTCTTTAGGGTCCAACATTCACTACCATATAACACAATTGGTCTTATAGCAATTTGATAGAATTTTCTCTTAAGCTTCTCAGGGACCTTCTTATTGCAAATAACTCCAAGAGCCTTCCTCCATTTTAACCATTCAGCTTGTATTCTATGAGAAATATCTCCATCAATTTCACTGTCCTTATGTATAATAGATCCTAGATATTTGTACTTTGACACTTGAAGGATGATTTGATCTCCCATCTTAACCTCCAAATCACCACTGTCTTGCCTCCCTCCAAATCACCACTGAATTTTTCTTCCATTACATGTGAGAAAATTACTAGAAAAATTCCTAAATATAGCAACATGCCTTTTAGAGGCTACTTAAACAAACTGATTTCAACTAAAATTCAAATAATCCAAAAATTGATATGTCATGAATGCTGAGAATCCTACTAAAAGACTGTTGTAGGGGGGGGGATGTCTTTTGGCGCAAGTACATTTATGACCATCGAAAGAAACTGCTAGATAAACCATACATGATAATTTTATGGAGTGCTCTTCTCTCAAGAGGTTGATATATTTCTAATCATTGGATGCACTTTGAGAGTCACCTTTGTAATTTAAAATTCAGAGTGAGTCTCAATTGAAAGTTTAGCTTCGTGAAAGAGAGTTATCCATGAAAAGACCAAACGGTAATTTGGTCCAAAATCTCAGGTGCAAGTCTTGACTTCCAAATTACAAATATATTATTAAGATAATGAATATTTAATTCTTCTCCTGAATGGCCTGGCTTCTTTAATTTACCAAGAATGAAAATGCTTTCCTCGTAAAATCTGTGATATTGCACAAGCAGCCGATATGAGACTGAAAAATTTCCAATTAGAGTTGCATGCATAAATATGTCCTTGTTAACTTTGCCTGATGGTTATTCTGATCGCTGCTCATGTGACATATGATATCACAGGATTGCTGTTGAAGCTAACCTTCCTTTTGTACAGCTTTCTGCCCTGGAAAATATGCACTATAGCAACATGATAAGATTTGATGATGAGAATGAAACCAGGTAAGTTTTTATGGGGGCCATATTTTTTGCTGTTAAGTTGAATTATTCATGGATCCGAGTCATAAGACCTTCTAGCAGACCTGCAAATGTCTAATCATTAAATTTCAACCTTTGAAGGAGGTTGAAACTTTTAATTGATCAGCTGAAGAAATCACTAGATACAGACCCTGAACCAAGAGATACAAAAGAGGATTGTTGCTCTGAGACTGATACTGAAGCTGATGGTTATCTTTCAAACAGTGGGTCTGAATCAAAAATGGCAACTGCTCGAGAAGATTGGAACGATGACATGCCCCTGATGTCAGTCTTTCAGTCCAGAAAAAAATCATCCCAAAAAGCAGGTTTCATGGAAGGTTTAAGCAACTCTGTTGAGGAACCTCAGCAGTCACCTCGAAGTATGCCAAAAACTACCAGTCAGAAGGCTGTTGGTTCTAAACGTGTCCGTGTAATCCTTTCTGATGATGAGGAGGAAGAGAATGTTGATGAGATGGAGCATTTAAAGAGAAAGCCCCGTGATTGTCAGTTACAGGACTTCTCTACTACTGACACAAGTGAGTTTTGACCATCTGCTTTGAACCTTAGACTTTTTAATGCGAAAATTAAGTACTGGCTGATACTTTACTAATTGCAGTAAAGAGTAAAAGAAGTGGTGCCAGTCCTGCAGCTAAAATTCAGGTAAAAAGCTTTAAATTATAACTTTGAAGTTCGTGTTTTATACTTTTATATTTAATCGAATATAAGCCAGTATATGCATACTTGATTGGCAGGTTGTCTCAGAGTATGGATCCAAGTGTCCAATTAACGTTGAAGATAGCAGTAGTTCTTTCAAATGCCGGCATCCTCACAGTGCCACAAAAGCTGCCAGCTATTCAAGATCTCTGAGCAATGATTTAGTTGCTGAACCTGATATTGCCAGTGGTTCAAAATGTGATACGAGTATCTCTGGCAAACTATTGCACCACGGAGCCGCCTATCCCATGAGGCGTAGTTCTGAACGAGACGTGAGTTCTGTTGTGATGGCTCCGATATGAAGAGTCTATTTGAGATTCATTATTTCATCCAGTCCTTTTTGTCACTGTTTCTGATCTATATTCTTTCTAACTTTTCTCCCCCTGTCCTTTCTCTAATTGCAGCAAGATATTACGGTCAAGATTGAAAATGACCTGATTTACATAGAAGCAACCTCATTTGTTGCTAGTGATCAGTTGAAGTCTGAAGTTGCATGCTTATATTATCTACAGCTTCCTAGAGAGAAAAGATCTGAGGGTACGTATTTCCCAATTGGAGGGTTCCTTGTCATAATTAATATCGGCAAATAAGATCAGCAACTAGTTAGAAAATCTAGTTGTATGAACTCTCATATTAACTTTAGAGTTCACTTCGATTGTACTAAAATGTTAATGTGCAGGTTTGTTGCCCATTATTCAGCACATAAGATGTGCTGGAAGAGATCTAGAATCCCTAGAAACTGTCGAAAATCTTAAGGAATGCGTGGGAGATGACATAGTTGAAGTTTCCGTTGATGGTATGTAGTACAGCTGTTTTATGTTCATTCTAGGGAGGTCAACATGCAATGGTTTCTGTAATTAACGCAGCTTCTTTCCATTAATCTAATTTCTAGTCAAGAATTGATTGCACGCAAAATATTTGGTTCTTGAGATCAGTTGAATAAAATTTTGCCTACTTCATTGTCATTAGATAGTTCACTGATGTTGCAATTTATTTAAGCATAGGAGGTAGAATTCATTAAAGGAACATGCATCAGGAATCATAGGCTTGCTCTGTATCGTAGCTGTATTACTTTTAGCACCGATGTCAAATATGACAACTATCTGCTAGTGAGATATGCAATTAATCTTCCCCATTACAGGATGGGTTCAGAAACGCCTAATAAAAATGTACATGGACTGCTGCGAGGAGTTGTCCGAAGTACCAAATCTCAAGGTGCTCCAAGAAACTGTACAATTTAGAGGTAAGATGCAACGTAGTCGGGTCAATTGTCTCATTGCCATTTCGCAAGAAAAGTCATGATTTTTCATTTTTTGGAGATTCTTTTGGACGTCTTTGTGTCCAGTGCATTGCTAGTTGGGCCCCAAGGCCCAGAAACATGGCCCAATTTCAGCCGGCATAACTAGTTCAATATGTTTATCTATTTCCAAAGCCATACCGTATTTAGCAAGTTTATCTGCACATACTTTAGCTTCTCTCCAAGTTCAGACCACCTTGACTTCCCATTAAGCTTTTCCAATTTACGAAACAACAGACCCAAAGAAACCACAATAGACCCAAGAATATCAACAAAAGGGATGCCGTGCCAAGCTTCCCACCAAATGCTCACAAAAACATGCTTTCGTCAACCACACTGAATTAAAATTTTGCATTAAATTATTGTTGACTAAATGTGGTTCCTGCGCACCGCACGGAATCGGAGAATAAGCTGCATTATCTAATGAATAATACAGTTTTTAGTTACAGTTTTTATATTGATTGTGGCTTCTTATTTTTGTCAATCAGGTTTCAGATGATGAGATTATTGTGACTGAGTGCGACCTGCAAGATTTGTCAGTAACTCCATTGTTAAATGCTCTGCTTTCTCACAAGAGATTTGCAATGCTTGATCTCTCTCACAATATGTTAGGTACATGTGGCTTTTTTGCTTTAGGGATTCTCTCAATTGTATTGCATTTTGATTACTTCCATGCTCCTCCAAGAGGGTCTTCTTTTCGTGTGTGCACGTGCATGCGTGCTTCTCAATTCATCTATATTTTGTTCAAATGAGTTAGGCAAAAAGAATAATAACCAGAAATAGAAAGTATAGATATAAGTAAGTGCAGTCTATTCGGTAGTTTTGGCTTTACATGGGATCTCTATGTATTAGGAAATGGAACAATGGAGAAACTTCAGAAAGTGTTCGTGGCATCAGGCCAATCTTACGGCGGCCTGACTCTGGACTTGCATTGCAATCGGTTCGGGCCAACCGCATTGTTTCAGGTATGGGTCCGTGGGCAAGGGTTTTGATATTTACATGGTTGTCTATTCTTTCCCCTTCTTCTGTTCAAATGCTAACACTTGCTGAAGGGAGATTTTAGTCATGAGATTTTAAATTCAATAGGTTGAAATTGAATTATCTTCTTTGATAAACGATAAGGGTATCTTAGTAGAAAGATATCTTTGAAAATTGAACTCGTGAATGGATATGCATAAAATTCTCTGAAATTCCATCAGCAACCGCCTGTCTTGTTCCCACTAAGAATCAGAACCTGTTGCCAAAAATTAAAAGAAAGTTATAATCCATGACATTCTTGTTGACCAATCTCTGCTTAGAAAAATAATCTTGTCATTATTTTCTCGACTTTGATGCCATTCCCAATTTGCTAATTTATAAGGCTTACTTTTTTCTCAGATATGTGAATGCTCAGTCCTATTTGCACGACTTGAAGTGCTTAACTTTTCTGGAAACCGTCTTACCGATGCATGTGGATCTTACCTTTCAACGATCTTGGAAAAATGTACTGGTAAGCAGCATTTCTACACCTTAGTCTCTCTCTTTTTGTTTGGTTAAATCAGGAACCCTGGTCATTATCCTCCCCCATCCTAATTTCACCGTCTGAGTTATTTCGAGGCCACTAGCTTTGTCTATATCAAATATGGTTGTTTGCGTTGTCTCTTGAGGGATGTTGATATTCACTTCCTTCCCTTTGTCACAAGATGCGGAAAATCTATGTTACTATATAAAATACCATAAGCTACTAAAAAGTATGCTTACCATTTCTCTAGTTCTCTCGTGTTCTTGCAAGTGGCTTTCCTCTATTAGCCTGTTATAAGTCTCCTTGCCTCTATTTACAACTCTTTTGTCTTGTAGCCCTCTGTAGCTTGAATGTAGAGCGCTGTCACATCACGTCTAGAACTATTCAAAAGATGGCCGATGCATTGGACTCTAAATCTGTTCTTGTACAGCTTTGTATAGGTATCATGTATTTAATATTCTTTTTGGATACCTGTCAGATGTAATTTTTGAGCTCAAGGAGTCTCTCTCCTCTATGTCAGGTTATAACAACCCTGTATCTGGAAATGCTATTGTTAATCTACTGACCAAGCTTTCTACTTTGCAAAGGTAGAGATTAGATATATCTTTTGTCTCTATGTAGCGTCTTCCTGTAATTTGCCACATTTATCATGGCATGTAGAGATGAAGTTTAAATAAAATTAAATTTGTTATTGTAGGTTTTCTGAGCTGAATCTGAGTGGTCTAAAATTAGGCAAACCGGTTGTTGATACGCTTTGCCAGCTTGCAGGGACCATTAGTTTATCAGGATTAATGCTTGGAAGCACGGGAATCGGAAATGTGAGTGATGTCTATGTTTATCATGTGTTCATAGTATTGTTGATACCGCAATTGTTTGTTCTGCATGCATATCCCACTGGTCCTCTGATTCTGATCGATGTTCTTCTGCAGGAAGGAGTGATGCAATTAACACGATCATTGTTCAATGGGACACAAGAGCTTGTGAAACTTGACATATCATATTGCGGGCTTACATCTAGTAACTTTTTTAGTGCAGGTGTTTCTTCATTTTCTTCCATTCTTGAGCTTAAACTGGAAGGAAATCCTATTATGCCAGAGGTTTGTAGCTTGTATATTGTCTTTTCCGGATTTTTACCTTTATATTCTAGTAATGAATGCTCTTTGGTTGGTTTTGTTGAATATTGTGTATGTATTCGCTGTGATGTTGCCACATCATAACCCTTAATTTGTGTGCTTTTATAGAGAGGGATAGCATCAGTATTTAACCTTCGGTCTATAACTAGAATGCTGATCCTTTATTTTGCAGAGTTTGTGAACTGAGTTATATAATTAATGACTTGTAGTCTCTGTAGATTTTTATTATACTACCTCCGGTCTTTAATATAAGAGCTAGATAATTAATTTGTGGATATTAAGTAAATTAGTTAAGTTAGTTATTTGTAATAAATGGATGTTGTTTTTCCTAAAATAGGCCTATTCACCATGTGCATTGAAATTATCTTTTTATGAAAATTTCTTAACATATGCAATCATCATATGAATTATTTGGAGGCAAAATAGATAAATATTAGAGATAAAGTAGATTAAAGTCTTATATTTATGACTAAACTGAATCTCCCAATTAACTTTTATATTAAAGACTAGAGGTAATGTATAAATATATATTAACATCTCCAGTTAACGCTGATCACATTATGAATTTAACCAGTCAATCATTATTTGGTATGCTAAGATGCAAATTTCTATATTTGTAATGAATAGGGCAGCAATACCCTTTCTTCTCTGCTAATGAACCCACAGTGCTGTCTAAAAGTTTTAGTCCTTAGAAACTGTCAGCTTGGGCTTACTGGAGTTCTCCACGTCATTGAGGCACTAGCAGGTAGGCATTTAATCACATTTGATAATCTACTCATCCTTTTGAAAATGCATTTACTTAATACATATCTTGTTTCTCTATCAGAGAACAACTGCCTACAGGAGCTTAATCTAGCGGGTAATGCTGCTCCAAACGAACTTTCTTCTCTACGACATGACTCCTCGATAAAAGGGTGCTCAGAGAACTTGGAGCAGAAGCCAGATACTCGTGAATTAAGTTCTCCCATGAAAGTGGACAAAACTAAAGAGGGTCTTGGCACTCTCAAAAATGCTAATTGTGAGCTTGAAGTTGCTAACAATCAAGATGATCGGACGAGAATAGAAACTGGAACTTCTGGAATTGATGATAGTTGTGCCAGTTCAAGTCAAAGAAATTCTTCATATCCTAAATGCCATTTAATTCGAAAACTTTCAACTGCTATTGGTCTGGCAAACAACCTGCAATTACTTGACCTCAGCGATAATGGTTTCTCTGCAGAAGCTGCAGAACTTTTGTATGGTTCATGGTCATCGTCATCTTTGCGAACTCGTTCAAGTCACAAGCACATTACTGATGAGGTTATTCATTTCTCAACCAGCGAAAATAAGTGCTGTAGAGTGAAGCCATGCTGCAAGAAAGATTGATTTTGTTTCTACTGATCTGATCGTTGTGGCAAATGCTCGTGTGCGGTTATGAACGTTTCCTCGTCCAGTTATTATTTCTTGTTATTTTTTTAAGGTACGTAGAGTTTTGCTCTAGCTTCATTTGTTACGTAAAATTTGTATATAAAGCACAAGTCAAATGATGATACATATGTTGGCAAAATACACATGTATATCTTCATAGTTTTTCCCCTTTTTTGAGTAAAAAGTGGGGAAGTACCATTACTCAAAAATGGGAGACAAAACAGCACTGGTTTGCAAATTATTAGTTTATTTAACATGACTACGGATTGATTCAATTTAACTGGATTCTTGTTGGGGTTTCTTTGTGGATGCTGATCCACTGATTGCAATCTAAACATAAGCATGTGAGTAACTTGGTATTTGACATTGAGAGTAGGATTCAAATTTGTTCTCTGGCAGGATTGAAGAAAAGTTATATCCATTTACCCAAAGTTGCATTGCAGGATGCTGCATTATCTTTGTCACTTAGATCCTTTTGTTTTGAGATTACAGGATATTTAGATGAAAACCAAATTATGATTTTAAAAATAATTTTACGGTAAACAAAGTAAGTATATGAGAAGGATTTTGTTTTAATTTACATGAGAGTACTTTTAAAAGTGTGAGTTAAATCAAACACTCTCAAAACAACGTCATAAGCTAGGATTTGAGAAGAAATGTATATGCTTACCAATCATATAAATTATGGGATGTTTTTGTAATGATTAACATGACAACATAAATCATATAATAATAAAATACATAAATTTTTCCATTAAATTTGATTTTTTTTTAAAAAAAACTCACATACCACCCATAATTGTGCGTATTAAAAGTACATTGATCTATTTTAAATTTGTTAAAATGAAAAATCATTAGCTGCAGTAAAACTATTTTTACAGAGGGACTATACAAAGTTTTAATTTTATACTTGATTTAAACAAAATTAAAAAAAAGCATGATTTATTTTATAATTGATACTGTATATTTAACAACTTAAATTCACCATGGTGACAATCATAGTTGGGATGAATTGATATCCCTTTAAGTGAAGTGGGAGTTTGAATTTTGTGGATAAAAAGAAGTTATGTCAATAGGGCTGTCCTTATTTAAACTTGTTAATCAACGATACTGAATATAAAATACTTATTCTTTGGGGGAAAAACTGGCCCTGTTAATGGGCTTATCTTAGTATGATAAGGACTCAACAATGAAGTCCAAAGCACACTTTCATGGTCCTCGTAAATTAACCCCACAGGCCACAGCCATGAAAATGTCAAAATTTTCTGCCTACTTGCGGATATCTTATCCTCTTACATCAAGAGATAAACAAAGTCGTAAAGCACAGCAACGAAAGTCAAAAACAATTAAAGAACAGTTAGAGATGAAAACAAAAAAATCCATCAGATTTGACTATACACATATGTATATGACCATATGAATCCGAATCCTCTTTTGTTTGTGAAACAAGACGCACGTCATGTTATTAAAAGGATAAAGAAAGAATATGAAAAATCTGCCATACATACGTTAGGCAAAGCAAGAATGAAAGAGGTACACGGAAGGCAAAAGTTGAACGGAAGAAGAAAATCTGTGCAAGTAACTTAGTATAATGCAATGAAAATCTTTTAGTATGATTTGAGAATCTTCCAAATGATACTAACATGTGTATATATTATACATATCGTGTTGACAAAGCTTCTAATAACTTTATGGGAATGAATGAGATATACATGAAAATAAAATCATAAGCATAAATAAATGATATGCCAGTTAGATAGTCATAATTGAGTTTAGCGAAAAGAGTTAGTTTTTCATAACATAATAAATTAATATTTAAATTCTTAATAGAAGAAATGTTTATATTTAATACCCGATCATATCTCAAACAGGATTGATTCCAACAAACAAAAATACCTATACTTAATCAAAGAAAAACAAAAAGGATTATATAGAAGAGAGGAGGAGGTTGCAAAGGTAAAAGGAGCAGTAACTTGAAAGTAAATGATGTTTTGTTAATTATGATTTGAGCATACGAAATAAGTTGGCATCAACTATATAGTATTTATGCATACTTGATTTGATTCATTCATTCATTCGTTTGATTTGATTCCTCCATCATCCTCGATCATCATTTTCAGTAATTAACTCAAAAACGTATTTAGATTTTCTCTCAAGCTTCCACATGCACGCACACATACATGTGTATATACTTGGCTTTATTATTACATTATTTGGCTTCAGTGTTTTATTATTTTGTTGATAGATTTCATTTAATAGAAATGATGAATATATAAATGAAGCGTAATAATGAAAATGAAAAGAATCAAAGCGTTGTTACTGTAGACGCGGCGCCTGTTAAAGGTTTATTTATCCAAGCATGCACCATTTCCAATTTCTCATCATAATAATAATTATCATCTTTTTTTCCCCCTAATGCAACCGAGTGAATATTGGAAGACATCAATATATCGATTGAGAATATATATAAATTTTAAGAAAAATTGGTCAATTTTTTTTTATTGGAAAATGAAATTGTGCAAAGGTACATGAGGATTTAGGTCCTTGAATGAAGGCAACTTTAGTGTGTGCAATTCTTCTTTAATTGTACGCAACATATCTACAAATATATGCAAATGTCTTTTGTTCTTCACATAATTGAAAATAGATTGCATATTTCAGTCCCAAAAAAATACAAGTTGCATATATAATTAAAGAAGAATGGCATTCACTAAAAATTGATTCCATCTATGTCTTTGATTAAATCTCAAGTACTTTTACACAATTTATTTCATAGTTATAAATTTTTAGCCCATTTTTTTTAATTATATCTTCCTCCGGTCCTAAATATAAAGTTTATTTTATAGTATAAATTTATTAATATATAAAAGTAGAGTACAAGGCAGGAGTTGCTGGTAGCATGACACGTGGCATCCTCTATGTGTAGATAAATGGTTTTCTTTTTCTTTTTTCTTTTTGGTAAAAGTTATGTTCCTACCCATGTTCTGCACGTCCCTACACATAACTTACCCGTAGTGTCAAATAAATGTGTTTTATTTTTTTTTTTTATAAAAAACCAAAATTCTGAATAAGTTTAGATTCTAATTTAAATTATTATAATTACAATTCAACTGATAAAACAAAATAGATATTGATAACTAATGAGGAAGTGTTTGGCAGTTTAATATTTATATATTATTAAAATTTTTGTTTTTGAATAATACAGATACAAGAAGTTAGAATAATTGTTATCTATGTATGGAGATTATTTTTTTGGTCCATTAACAAAATTGGTTGACATTGCTATTTTTCAGCCACAAATAAACAACTATAAAGATTTTTTATTTATATTTAATTTATTATCATATTTATATGACTCATATCCGATATTTACGTTTTGGGGTTAATTAGGGTCTTGATTTAAATTGGCCACTTAATATTTAAATTGATTTATAAATTTATAAATTATAGGAAGAACTATAATCACAAAATTTTGAAACGTGTGGCGGTTTTTTATTATATATTTATTGGCTATTTTCACGGTCATGCAACTAAATATGTAAACTGGCCACTTAATATTTAAATTGATAAATTATAGGAAGAGCTGTAATCACAAAATCCGGAAACGTGTGGCAATTTTTTATTATATATTTATTGGCAATTTTCACGGTCATGCAACTAAATATGTAAATTGGCCACTTAATATTTAAATTGATTTATAAATTGATAAATTATAAGAAGAGCTATAATCACAAAATTTGGAAATGTGTGACAGTTTAAAATATTAAGTGGCTAATAAATACGGTTTTAAATATAGGAAGAGCTATAATAACAAAATTCGGAAACATGTGGCAGTTAAAACACGGTTATGCCACTAAAAATTTAAATTGGCCACTTACTATTTAAATTGATTTATAAATTGATAAATTATAGAAAGAGCTATAAATAAACAGCTGTAAAGATTTTTTATTTATATTTAATTTATTCTCATATTTATATGACTCATATCCGATATTTATGCTTTGGGGTTAATTAGGGTCTTGATTTAACCAATTTCTCCTGCCTATGGCTTTCTAGAGGATATTGTATTTATTTTACTTTCTAAAAACTTCTAATTTTATTTTTCTTCTTACAATTCTCATTATCATGATCTCAATCACCTCAAAAATCGTAAACTATTTGATTGCAATTAAGCAGGAAGTTAAGATAACTTCCATCATCCATCACCTGTTACCCACTTTCTCCACTTTCTAGGTGTTTTTCTTAATTTTTATTTTTATTTTTTTTTTTGGGTAAAACCCACGCTTCCTATTAGAAAGTTATGACTTTTTTGTATTTGGAATTTAAAACACGGTTATGCCACTTAAAATTTAAATTGGCCTCTTAATAATTAAATTGATTTATAAATGAATAAATTACAGGAAGAAGTATATTCCCAAAATATAGAAACATGTGGCAATTTTTAATTATATATTATCGGATAGTTAGTTTAGTTTAAACGTTTTTTTCTAGGATATGAACGAGTATTTGAATTATCTTATATTATCTAAAGACACTTTGAAAGTTTGTATTTGGAATGTAAAGCCACTTAAAATTTAAATTGGCCACTTAATTATTAAACTGATTTATAAATGGATAAATTATAGGAAGAAGTATATTCACAAAATCCAGAAACATGGGGCAATTTTTTCATATAATTGTATCTTGCATGACTTACTAACAGACTGTCACTTGGCTCAATCAGAATATAGATAAATGGTTTTTTTTTCTTTTTTTTTCTAAAGCCAAAATTTTATGTCCAACTCCCTATTTATGCGTTATTCACCACTATAATACATGTTACTCCTTATTCTCTCTGCTCATCTCTTTTTGTGATAGAATCAGTTAGTTATCTCTCATAATAATGCAGTATTTTTTATTTAAATGGTTTTAGTTGAATTCTTGGCATGTATTGTTTATTTATATTTTAGTGGAATTGTTTGTAAATAAATTTTTTATTTTTTACTTTTGTTAAAGCCTCATTTTTACCCATGATCTTTCTATTTATGCATTTTTCTTGGGAATCAGTTCAATCATATTTATTTAAGTGTACGTTTCATGTCTTTCTAT